GGTTGCAGCTGAGAAAGGAATAAGGCATTTAGGAAAAAGAATCACTTCTAAACATAGCTGTTAAAAGAGAAGGTGAAAGTGGTTTTATAGTTGAAGTATTCAGTGTCTTCTGCAGCACAGAATTATTCCCTCTGAAAAAGCAACTATAAAGTGCACAGGAACTGGTAATCCAGGTTTTCCTGGATCTTTTTAAAAAGAAAATACAGAATTTGTTTGGTTTGCTTTCCATAGATGAGCTCCATCCCACCTTAGCAGAAAGGTATTTTGGGGAATGTTCTGCTTTTGTGCTTTGAAGTAGAAATTTTACCCTGGGTGATTCCTCTGGCACATTTGCTGATTTGTCTGTTTTTCAGGTATTAGAAACTGTTACATAATAAACAGAACCAACCCTTTCCCAAGCTGCTGTACAGGGGAGGTCTGCTTAACTGCAGTCTCCCAAAAGGCTTGCTTTGGTGTCTTCAAGTCTGTTAGCTAAAATGTCAATATCTGTTTAGTGGTAAAACCTTCAAGATATCATCAAAATGCTAAACTGAGAACAAATTGTTTTCATTGCAAATGTGTGTTACAAAATAACAAGTCTTTTGAGCATTTATCTTTGTAAAATATACTCTTTTCTTCTTTGTCTCTCTGTTCTTTCCCACAACATATGAATGGTGTTTACATTTGAAGTCTAAGACACTAATGAGGAAAGTGTAGAGGAAATGGAATAATAACAATCTGAATTAAATATTGAGAAACTTAAGATATATTGTGATAATTTTCAACTCCCATGACATCTTTTCATTTTTTATTCTATGCTGTTAACTCTTACAATTTTTGTTCTCTGTAAAAAATAGTTTTCACATCTTTTAGCTAGCTAGGTGTCTTCATATGAATGCAAATATAGCAAGCCAGGTGACCTAGATCCTTTTAGCATTGCCATACAGAAAGAATAAGGCAATAATAAGCTGAGAGAGAGACATTTAAAGCAAAAAGCAGCACTGCTCTGACCCTGTAGATTCCAGGTTTTAAACTTACTAAGTGGCCATGAAGTTTTTAGAGGTATCTTAACTTTGTATTTTGTATGATATAAATTAAATAAATGCAAGTTATATTAAAGAATCCAGCTATGTGTGCTGAAAAGGAAGTCTAACCCAAAGAATACGGTGAACTATTTCTCCAAAGCATCATAGTTGCTATTTTACATACTCTTCATCTGGACAAGCAAACTGTCTGGCAGTATTCAGACTCTTAAAAACTGCAATTTAATGAAAAGATACACTTAAAATTTCAGTCTTATTAAGTGACTTCGCAGGAGAATAACCCAGAGATGAGCATTTTTCATAAGCAGAGCTTGTGCTTCTATGGCTTACAATGTGATTTTCACAGGTGCAGATGTCTGATTTCTCCTTATCTAGAGCATTTTACAGGCATGGACAACTAAAATACTGACACCTGGGACAGTCAGTGGGGAACTCTAGTGAAAGACCCAGCTTTCAGAGGTTAATCTGAAATGCTGACTTCAAAACATCATCCCCACAATCAGCTTCTAATGTCTCCAAGAGCTGCAAGAGTAGAGAGAACCCAGCACAGTTATCTGATTACTCTTTACTCCCAGGGTTGATTTGGGATTGCTGACCTGATGTGTCTATTCTAATGCAAAAATCTGTGCCCTTGCAGGTGCAACCTTCCCAAACTGTCAATGAGTTCTTGTGTTTTCTCTTTGCCTAATTAAGTGCCAAAAACACTTCAGATCCTCAGAGATAGAGTGTTTGTATTTGGTGGTTTTTTTGAAAAGGTGTAAAGTTATTGGGGAGATAAAAAAGAGGGAAAGAGAATAACATTTTCAATTGTGTTACAGTGCAGTCCTTCAGGTTTGTAAGAAATTAGGCATCCCTGCTCAGCATTAGCCCCTCTGGCTTGACCTGTCACTCCTGTCTGCAGACTTTTCAAGCAAATGTGGCTGATTTGAACCTCATTCATTATGTGAATCTGTGATTTTCAGCACGTTGCATAAGATTAACTCATTTTTAGTTGTCATGTGTCCTGTTGCAGATCCTCTTCTGGGGATGAAGTAACAGTCAGATTAATGCTGTTAATGCCACTTTAATACACATGAGCGTTGCCTGGCAAGGCTTGAGGGAGTGACATTAGAAAGCGCTAAATTCAATAAATGAAGTCTGATATGTAATAGCATTTCCAGCACTGACATAAAAGCAGACAAGTTCAGGCCCAAATTCATCTCTGCATTTTAGTGATACTATACCACTTATTTCTGTGGCCTTGCCTGTCAGAAACTAAAAGTAAAGTTTGACCAAATGTAATGTTTTTTTAAAAAGTTAAACTAAAATTTGGATGTTCCTGTGTTTCCCTCCGAAATTCATTTAAATGATTTCTACTACAGTGTTTCTTTCCTCTCTTGTATCTGGCTAGAAACAGTGCAAAATGTCAATAATTTCTAGTAAAACTTTTTAATTACTATTTTTTTCTTTGTACTTGGTGTGAAATTTATTTATGAAATATAGTCTAAACTGTTCTCAGAGTATGAACTTCTAAACTCCTAAATGTCTTTATTTGGAAGTATTTTGGATATGGTAAACATAGCTGAGTTTGACAACAGCAGTAGGAACAAATTAAGTGAGGTTGATAATGAACAGCTTTCATAATAACCAGAACACCACTGTACTGCAACCAGTATGGTCATGCAGATGATACCCATGGTATGCAGCCACCACAGCAATCTTGTTCCATTCAGCTTTGCAAATCTAGCTAGAGCTGTGTATTTAAAGACCAATCATAGGTATCACTGTATGACTTTGAACTGAGCCTTTCCTCACTGTCCCTTTGAGTTCAGGAGGAATTCTACTTGGCAAAAATAGGTGTTTTGTTATCACAACTTTCATAGATGCAGAGGTATTTCTCCATGTGTCTTAGATATGTTGTTTTGGCTGAGTTATTTTCTTTTATTTAGTCTTCTTTTCAGAGTCTTACTAAGAATTATTTTTTTTCTTTAAGCAAGAATTTCCAGTATACAGACAGTGTACTAAAATTCACATGGACTATTACTTGTAGTTGAATTTTAAGTTATTATTCCTTGAGAAGTTAACCGGGAAAAATAATGAGGCAGACACCTTTATTTAGACCTCTAGGGTTTTCTAAATAATCTTTTAAAAAATTGGTCCTCAGTGAGTCAGTAACATTCATTAATGAGTTACTGACTGGAGTGGGTACAGAATTATTCTGTAAATTTTTATAATCTCTCTTAGTATTGCTGTTCAACTGAGAATAATATTGTCACATAAAAAAACTATTTACAGAAACCCTTAGGGAAACAATTAAAGTAAAAATGTTCCAACATATATTTTTATTATGTTTTTTTTTCCTTTTCTGATCAGGGAAAACAGTGCCAGATTTTAGTCACACATTTAATAAGATGCTCTTAATGGTGGCTTTAATTTATTCTTTTTCAATATTAAACCATCTAAGAGAGAGTTATTAGAATCAACATAGTTTCTAAGTTTACTGAACCAGAGGCATCTCTGTAAGTTAGAAAACTGTCAGTTTAAAACACATAAGCTAAAAGCCCTCTAATGTTGTGACCCTCGGTAGCCCAATGGAAAAAGTATTTATTTCATTCAGTGTTATTTTCTTGTGTGGGAGAGCAACAAATTAAAACAACTAATTCAGTTCACTGAACAATATTTAGCAGAACTTCAGAGACTTCAATTAACCACTGTTTAATAAAGGTACTAATCTGTATTAAATGAAAGCCTTCAAGGGCTCCCTTTGAAACAATGCATAAGTAGTAATCAGCAAGTCCTGATAGAGGGGCCTGCTGGGGCAAATAGCTGGAATGTGCTGTGTAATCAAATTCCAGGAGATTTAAACCCACCAAAAAAAAAAAAATATTGCTCAAGCCTCTTTTAAGTAAAGGATATTTGGGTTATTTTCTTCCTAATTCTAATATCCAGCATATTAAACAAAATAATTACATTAAAGTCCCTATTTGAAAGTCAAGTCAAAACAGGAAAGTAATTTAAAAATGCTTACATGCCTTCCTTGTGAATGACCCCCATCACACAACTTTGAAAATAGTAAGACTTGCTTCTCAGCTTCCATCCCTGTACTATGAGAAGTCATTACACTCAGAAGCTCTAATTAATGACAATTTTCATGCTTAATTCCTTCCAGAATCCTTTGGAACATTGCAAGCTGAACTCAGCATACAGCACTGGAGAGCGGCAGTGATTTTTATCCTGTCATGTGTACATTTGTGTGTATGTAGAATTGAATAGCCTTGTAGATTTCAAGAATATTACTATAAGCACTACATTGTCTTAACAGACAATATTTGACTTATATTAATTTAATGAAAGGCCCATACTATCGTGCTTTCCAAAGTATTTCCAGCTCAAAGAATAAGGGTCTTTAGGTATGTTTCTGTTCTAATTTCTGACATTCCAAATCTTAGAGGAGGTCTCATAGAAGGTAAAAGTGAAAAAAAAAGAAGAAGATTTCACATCACTTTGTCTAGGAACTCAAATTCCAATGCTGTTAGCAGTGGATGAGCAGACTGACAATTTTGGCACTCGTGTTTGGCCCTTCAGTGAATCACCAACCCCACCCACCACCCTTCATGGGGTGACAGTGTGAAAATTGTGGTTCCCATATGAGTGATATTAACATTTTACGCTACATGGACTAAGCCATGTCATATCACAGCTCTGCTTTCTCTTGTGTACCTTTCCAAGTAAAAAGAGTCAGCTATGACTACCCAGACTGACCAGCTGACTCATAGCAACATTTATTTTCATTGGCCTGTAATCTGAAACTGAGATCAAGAGTGGTTTAAGAAAGTCAGTTAACCTTTATGAGAGAGAAAGAAGGACTGTCTAGCCTGTAGAAGATATTTCAATACTACACACAAAGTTGTTCCTCAAAATGTGTTAATTCACATCAAAATATTTCACTGGGTACTGAAGGAAAAAACAGAAGATAAAATCTACAAAAAAGTAGAGACAGTTCTCTTCTTCCTGTCTTCATGTTCAAATGTCTTCACAGTGGCTTTCCAGGTTGTTTCCTGTGATGGTGCAAAAGTAATCTTAATCCTCTGCAGGTGGATATCATCCACGACTATTAGTTTAAAATTTTATGGAAGAGAAATGGGGCTCAATCCCAGAGAGTGGGGTTGTTGAGTGATGAAAGTTTACAACTTTTTGCCCATGAGTCAGAATCTCTTTCCAAGGCTTCAACTAGTGTATTCCTGTTTGCTGTTTGCTTCTAGTTTGGTGTAAAGGGGTCCTGAACCGCAGTGGTGTTTTATGCTTATACATGTACATTTACAGTTCCAAGAGTTTTTGCATTAAGGAATATTGCATGTGAAAGAAGCATGATTTTCTTGTTGAGACCATTTCTGGCAGTTGGTACATGAAACTAGTTCAAAGGAGTCAGCTGTTGTGGCTAAAAGCACAAGGAAGAATAGCAATGTGAAAACATGGGGCTTGTTTTCCTCATTGCTAGGCTCCAGTCCTTCAGATTTTCTGAAGTCATAAAACTGTATGTTGTCCACAAGCAAGAATTTGCAGGATTTGAGATTTAATGAGGCCCACCCAGGTTCATTATAAAATTGTAATCCTAATATTAATTCAAGGATTAGAAATGAAACCGTAGAATTGTTTAATAGTCTTGTTAACTCAAAGTCAGAACAGACTGAAAGAAGGTCTTTCAGTAAGCTTTCAAACATCAAGCAAAGGTACCTCCCTGAATTAAAATATGATGGAAAATCCAATTAAATATTTGCTATTATCTATAATGTAAGTCATAATTATGTGCTGATACACAACATGGTTAATAGGATTAAATTTTGATATAGGTCACCTTCAAAGTTATTTTTTGCATAAGAATTTAAAACTAACTAAAATCCTGAAAGAGATTTTATATCATGTCTTTTCCTTAAGGGATTCAACAGGTTTAACCAAGTTTCAAAGTTACTGAGAATGAGATACTAGCTTTTTTTTTCAACATTCCTTTTAAAGTAAGACCCTCTGTTAAGATCAAACAAGAAACATGAGAAGTACCTACGTAATTTATATTTCCTGTGATTTTCTTTTCTTAGTCTGTGATTGAGTAAGAATTTCTGCCTCAAAGCTATTCTTTTTCTTCCCACTTGACCCTGAAATAAAATCATGAACCTTTAAAACATCTTATTTGGTGGTTGTTGCTTTGTTATTAAAGAATATTATGTGTTTACTTTTGTTTAAGCCACATAGTTAGGACTAGGGAGAAAACAGGAATAATGGGTTTACATGGGAAAAAAAAAAAAAAAAAAGGTGGTAAGACTTTTATTACATGCATCTTAGAAAAATGGGTGTGCTTTTACAGTCAGTCATACTTGAGTCAGAGAGTGTTTGGAATAACTATTGCATTGAATATAACCAGTTAGATTTTACTTCCTTTGCCAATTAAGAAAATGCATGTTGAGGAACAACCTATGAAATTTCACAGTCCACAGGGAAAAAGACAAATAATTATTGTACGCATGGAGCTATATAGCAAAAAATACTTTTCACCTAACACTTACGTAAAATTTGGATCATAATATAAATGATAGGTTTATGTACTTTTTAATTTTCTCTCTCTGAAATTTTCCTGTTTTCAGAATGCTATAGGGCTCTCGGTCGAACTGCATTTTTTCTGAAAGGAGGAAGAGTTGGTAGCACTATTCACAGTGATCTTTGTTTTTCAATTGAAGTTGAATCAGTATAGACAGTTGACAAAGGGAAGGAAAAAGCAAAGTTGCATTGCCAAGGGGAGTAAAGGAGCAATGATCAACTCTGGAGCACACAGCCTGGATTAACAGTATCATAGTGTAATAGACGAAGGCCTGCAAATTCTCGTGTGTAATTCTGATTCTAACTAGAAAGTTAAAGAAAATTCTTTGGCATAAAACAAAAGGTAATTCCTTATCTCTTGACCCTAGGAGTTAGGCTGCTAGTTTTTGTTTGAGGGATTTTTACATCGATGCAGCAATTTAGGTCAAAAAATAATATTTAATCTAAAACTTTATTTTAAAAATATTGACTTACATATTCCTATAAAGTTTTGGTGGAGAAACATACCTAAAAAACAGAGGTATAAAATCTTTGTAGTTCTATGAGGGTCTGTCAAAGTATTTCAGATTTGCTGGATTGTGACATTTTAAATATGCTGCTTGCATCATTACACAATTGGACATGCTTCCTCCATGGCAGTGTTGTATGTTTAAAGCATAAACAAAGTGCATAGAAACAGTTTCTATTCACAATAGTTGAATTAGGCTTTATCTGACAGTGCTTCAAATTGATCATTCACCCGAATGGCTTCAGAAATGCTCATATTCTTCATTACTCACAGTTACGCAAATATGCTGTAGATAATACAACCCAACTATCTATTTATAAGAAAAAGAAAGATTTTTATAAGAAAAAATTCTATACATTTTTACTGTGATTATCATTACTTCTGACTAAATCAGGAATTTAATAATTAGATTATACTTTAGTTGTGTTTTTCTTATTTGTTTATTTATTTGTTTTTTTTGTTACTGAACTAAAATGTTGCATTAGGTGGACAACTGAAACTTGGATGTTATTTTTCAGGAAAATCAAGTGTCAGAAATCTCTGAGCATTTAACAGAGGGAAAAAATGCTTAATATACAGCTAAGCCCAGATTATAATAATTCCAAAATATTATAACACCAAAATCCCTAGGAAATAAAATGTCAACATAATACCAAACCTCATGGGAGTGTTTCTACAATAAAGGTAACTTACTGCAGGGAGAAAGTTTCCTTTCTAAAAAACGGGTGTATATAAGATTTGCTATGTCTTTGCTAAAGCAGCTGGCCTCGGAACACTTTTAAGGAATAAAATATTTTTCTACTTTCTGCCCTAACCCTGCCTAAAAACAAAGGCCACTAAGGGTTTCATGGAATAAGATCTATCAAGCAGCACAGGACTTTTTCTGATATTTTCCTTCACGTTGTGCCAGATAAGGCAGAGAAGCAAGGTCTGCACTAAAAGAGGATTAGCTATTGGTGCAGTTGTATGGAAAGATCCAAACATTCCAAAGTGGGGTTTTGAGGAAAAGAGTTGCTGTACTCCTGGCTGTAGGAGTTATTGCAGAGGCCAAAGGGCTGCTCTCTCTTCCCCTGCTCACCTCAGTGATGCTTCTACCTTCTTCCTAGAAATCCATCTGCTCTTTTTGTTCTGACCAGACATAAGCAGGAACAAGCAACAAAATTGAAAAGAAAGTACTTCTTGTAAAGTATCATATGTCTGGTTGCTTTTCCACTCCCACTTCATGCCAACAAAGTAATAGCTCTGACTTGCATGTAAACCCTCAAGCTCAAAAGCTTGTCTTTACTTTCCCTGATTCACCCTCATGTTTGGTGAAAGGCAACTGTGAGTCAAAGTCAAAATATGCATTTTGATAATGTGCTGAGAAATACGTTCCTTAGCTCTATAAAGGCTTGCTAGGATTCTACTCAATTTTGTTTCAAGTCTTATGCCACTGGCATCTTTTGTTAAATTTCCTCCTGTGTTATTAAGGGCTGTTCAAAGGAGTAGATTTGTTTTCAGTTAACCATATCACTGAAATCAAAGCTAACAATGGATCTTATAATAAAAAATAACATCCAAAATAAATTTTGAAACAGTTCTTTATAATGCAATTTGAATGGCAAGTGTGAAAGAAATATTGTTGTAACTTAATTCAGAGTAAGTCCCCCATCTCTTAAAAACAGCATATATAAACAACCTAATTTCAAAAGCACTCTTGTCAAGGCCACTCTGGCTACCAAAATCTAAATGGCACATGGGGGGCTTGACACATGCCTAAAACATATCTCTCTGTTATTTGATGTTTTCAAGGGAAAAAATCTGTGAAATCTGATGCGTAAAGCATTGCGAAAAGAAAAGTAAAAAACACAACTTTTTTAGGACAGAAAATTAAATAACTGCATATATATAGGATTTATGAAATTTATTACCTATGTTTTGTATAATAAAGATGTCAAGACTGATCCAGGATGCTACCCCTCGCACCTTCCAGCACAGTCTGCACACGCTGATGAATCTAACACAGAGGTAGTTAAAAGAACAGCTTAGAGATCCTGCCTGAAGTTTAACCACCGTCTGAGGACCATGTTGTTCATCTGGCATGGTGTGTTTGTGAAGGCTAGAGGTGGTGAAACCATGACCTCAACCAAAGCCTCATGACAAAGGATGCCTGTGGGGCTGCACTGTGCAGGAGGCTCAGAAGGGACTTGAGAATAACTACAGGGTTGTTAGATGGGATGAAATGTGAACAGTAGCATAAAATTGGTAAATTTGGATGTTTAGGCTTGGGGAACATCTGGAATCCTCATTCCTTCAGATCCTTTCATACAATTATGTACAATTTAATTTTAATTCCTTCATCAGCTCAACACCCACACAGGAGCTAACAAAACCATCTCAATCTAATGAAGGAGCAGACAACATTAGAGTTGTCATACATTTATGGGGTGGAATGAATAGTTTAGAAATCAAATACTTCAGACCAGAATTAGATGCAGTGCAAAACTCCTACATGTGCATTTTAACCTCACGATTTCTATTAGACAGTAGTGAGATCTTGCTTAATGTGAAGGTTATTTTGTTTCCTTAGTTTGAGGAGTTATGAATAACGTTATACTTTTCAGAATCCCAAACCAATTTTAGTACTTTAAAAGATAAATAATCTGCCAGCACTAACTGGCAGAAAATATTTCCTATGTATTTTGTTTTCTAGTTATGTATGTGCAACTATAGACTTCTGAGATATCATTTTTCATTATGATTTTTTAGACTGCATTTGACATAAATTAGAACATCATATAGGTTTTTTGCTGTTCTGCTAGACTTTGATTTAAACAGCTTGGTTTTTTCAGCTGTTTTTTACCGTTAATATTGTAAATTCTTCACTACACTGAGGGGAAATACTGGAGTTAAGCTAGATACTTCTGTGAAGGTGCTCAGTAGTGGTGGTCCAGAAAACCAAATCAATCTCTTATTGGAATATTAGGCAAAAATTAGGTACCAGACTAGTGAATGTCCACCTGCCACAACACCAATCTGCATTTCACCCCTACAGCACAGTTCTGATTCCTCCCAGAAGGCAAGGCAATAAAAAGTAACAAATTATTTCTGTGTGAGGAAATAAAAAAAAAAAAAAACGGTGTGAAGAGAATGGATGGGAATTGACTGTTCACTGCCCCTCCCAGCAATAAACATCATGGGAAAGTATGAGGAGTCACATTCAAAACAAACAGAAGGAACTGATTCCCTCTGCAGCAGGAACAAGGATATTAAGGATACTGAAAATTTGCAAGGAATCAGCTGGCAAGTTTGTAGAAGAAAGCCCATAAAAGGTTGCAGAACTTGTGGAAATCACAACAATGCAGGAAAACCATGAGCAGAAAATAGTTGTTAGCTGAGAAACTCTTAGGGAAAAGCATTATATACATTTGACATGTTTTCCCCTTTTGTAAACACCTGTGTATGGCACTTGTAGAAACCTCGTAGTGGTCTGGATGAACCCATCATCTGATCAAATAGAGCCTTCATGCTAGAAAAGGTTTATTTACTTATTTAAACAATTTTAAACCCACAGCAGATTTGTGAAATCATAAACGTATCCAAAGAAACCTCATGAATGAAATCAATAGGCTTAATTCTTCCTGTCATATGCTAGAGCCCATAAGAAGCAAACACTTTTTGAAAGTGTTCTTTACAATGTATCTTTCATTTTAATGGCATTTTCCTTAAAATTTTCCTCTTGCACTTCTGCTAATCTTGAGGAGACCTCTAGGAACCTGGATATCTACATCAATTTTCTAATCATTCTCTCTAGTTCTATTTAAAATGTCTCTTAAGCTTTCCAGTTAATTTATCAATAGCATGGCTAATAAGGACATATGCCTGGTCTGTATGTTGTCTTGAAAATATATAAAGCTTAAACACATATTTTCATAGTAGTATTAACAGAGAAGTAACATTTTCACTTCTGTGTCCTTGCAGTAAGAAAAATATCAGATATAATTACTAAAATCTTATTTAGTGAAAAACTCGTGATTGTTTTTAAATTATTTTATTTCTTCTAAGTACAGTATAAAAGCTGCAACTGGTAAACAATGCTAACAGATAAATTCTGTAACATACTGTAACAATAAATGCCTGCATTCTATGTCATCCTGTTCTGTACTCCTTGATTTTCAAGACAATGTACAAAATCATGTACAACTTGATTTTCAAGACAATTCAGCATTGTTTTTGTAACAAATCTGATGATAAAGGGCTTGGGAAATCTGTTAAAAAAAACCAGTAAAACACGTAAGTACAGCTCTAATGGATAAAGGCCTGATTACCAGCCTCTAAGATGCTAGTCTGTTAGACTAATAAATGTCTGTTAGAAAATTTTGGGACAGTGTAATGATCCCTAACTTAATGTCCAGAGAGGTAAATTCCTAATTCTTCAAGAAAGACATAAAAGTATTTATAATGCCTATAACTGGACAGTGTTGAAAAGAGGATTAGAAATTTGGCCTGAGCACACCTTGTAATAAGGTTACACTGAAGCATTGCCTTCCTTTGTACTAATATAGCTACAGAAGTTTACAGATACTCAGAGCCGGTGGAATTTGTATGGGTGCCCATTTGGTTGAGGAACACTAATCACTTCAGCTTGCAATAGCATTGATTCAATTCCATCACCATATGCTCCTGCAAATCCTATCTGTAATTTGCTTCAGTATTACTCTGTTGCCTGTCCAGCTGCTCTGCTCCATTGCAAGGTAGAGACAGGCTTTTAGCTACACCTCTCTTGCACCAGTAAAACCTGTCTTAGAACCTGGTTACTTGTGGAAAATAAACAAAGTAGGAAAACAGAGGGTTAGAACTGCCACCAGTTCTGCTCTGTGACTGACATAGCTAGTTTTTATAAAATGGTAAATCTTAGTGCTATTTTCAAAGTAATACTATTTCAGAGGTCAGAGTTAAGCGTCCCAGCTACATAACATGTTAAAATCTGCCAGATTTTGTCTTTCAGAAAACTTCTGTTCTTGATTAGTTTTTAATATTTGCCCTCATCTTCTGTGAGGAGTCAGTACTGGGCTCATTGCTAACTGCTTTTTAAGTCTTTGTTTCATTAACAATGAGTTGGGTTGAAAATGTAAAGACTGTGTACATTTGTAGCACCAAATGAACAGGATTGATGTCTGAAAACACAGCTCTCTTTGCGTATTGGTTATTTCTTTATTAGTCCTTAAAATAGAGGAGTGTCTATGGCACTGGTACTTGCATTGCCAAAGAGTCATAGATTAATGTATCTTTAAATTAGCTGTGGCAAAGACATTAGTAATTACCTGTAGCATCGATTGTATATGCTAACTCTACTTAAGTCTCTATCTATAAAACATCCTTGTGTCATTGGGTAGCACATGCAAATGAACATAACCATAATTTCTTTTATTGATTTCTTGAGACAAAAGATGTAACTTCTGCCCCAGGTCACTTTGCAAGCTGAAACCTGCAAGCTGAAACTAGAATCTTGTCAAGCACTGTAATTTCACTTCAAAGTCAATTACAGTTTTTGCTTTTATCTTGGTTGTGAGATCTTTTCCTTTCATCACCTCACTCTTTCTCCACCCTCAACCAAACCAAATTCCCTAATGTTAAAATGCAAGCTGTCTTTACCTGCTGACTCCCTAGTTGTATTCTTTACCTCAGTGAACTGTTTACTAATTGCTTTCTTGGCTGCAGCTTTAACCTTTGTTGTTCTCCATAGACCGTCTTTGGTCTGATCCTGTGTTTAAGAAAACTCACAAGATACACACGTGGTCTCTGGTACAGAAACTTCCTAGGTCATAGCTTTGCTAAAATAGAATGTGTATATATACACATGTAATTGCTAGGTACTAGGGGAAAAAAAAAACAAAACAAAACAAAAACAAAAACAAGTGGGTTTTATATGAAATGATTGTTCATCAGTGTTAATATCAGGAGGGTACAGTAAAGAAGTAGTCCCCAAATTTTTTAGCAGTCAAGTTTTTGTTTAAATTAACAACTTTTAATTATGCTGAAAACAATGCAATTGCTTGTCTCTGAAAGACAAAGACTTGTGGTTTTGACTTTCTGAAAAGTTACATGCACTACAGTACAAGAATTGTGGTGAGAAACAGTGACAAAACCCAGTTTCTTTGGAAAAATGCTGTTGTTGATTATTTGCAATATGTTTCAACTGTGTATAGATTTCTCACAGTTGCCTAATAAACACACTGTTTTCATTCTTTGGAGATTAACAGTTTCCCCTGTGTTCTCAGGTTCTTTCTAGCATATTACAGTGTTTCTTTTGAAGGATTGGTTTTCCTGGGTTGAACTTAAGAACTCGGAGCATCTTATCACACTTTCACCAGCTTGCTTTCTCAGGGGGAAAAAAGAGATGGGGAAAAAAAGCCCATCAAGGCTTGTGCCAGTTAAATCCAAGCTCTCAAGGGATTTGTTTTTCTTCAGGCGTCAGATTAGATGTTCAAACCAAGCAGCGTTGTGGGGCCACGGGTCAGTGCCCACTGAACCCTTTAACGAGGCTAATCCCACAGCAGCACATTCCAAGCGGCTAATGGGTGCAAGGGCTCTGCTGGCACTCACATCTCTGCACTGGGGGCAGAGTGAGAGCCTTGTTCAGCCGTCGCAAATGTGTTATTAGCAATGACCATCAGTGGCGAAACGTGGAAAGCAGATTTTGCTCCAGGACAGACTTAAACACCAAGTTTGATGCTCAGGTAAAGAAGAGGGAGGGAAAAAAAGTGTTCTTGGTGGGATTTTACAGCTAGGTTAATAAAGGGAGAGACTGACCTAGGGAGCTAAGCTATGAATAAACTAAATTCAAGTATGGCGTGCATTTTATGAATTCCCTGTGGACTTTAAATTGTCTTATGAATTAATACTAAAGGAGTATTTATGAAATAAGAGAAAGAGAAGATAAGCTTCTTACTCTACTAGTCTTGAATATTCTTTGCTGCAATTTTCTAAATTTTTTATTACTTTATAAATTGACATTATTAATAAGAGTTTAATGCAGACAATTTA